TCAGAGAATTCACAAGACATGTCACGGGCCACGATCTGACCACACGGTTGAGATGCCACGTCAATTCTGAAGAACTCTACCCCAGACCCATGTATTTAGCTCGTTCAGAGAGAATAATCAACATTGTGCATAACAAGATAGAATCATAACACCTCTATCAGCTGACGCCAACAGGCAGGAGCAGGGAGATAAAACACTGAGAGCACAGCAGCCAAGGTTACAGGTGTGTGTGCTCAGTCAGGACAGTTTGAACTGACCACTGGGTGAAAGTTATGGGCTTTGGAAAATATTTCCCCAACACTAGCTACAAGCTAGCTTACGTGCATCACAAATTGAGCAAAACCCAGTTGTATACGTCAATGCATATACTGTACCAACAAGGAGGGTCTTCAACACAACAGAGTCCTGAGGGCAATGTGCTGGAGGGAAAGAAAGCTTCACAGAGTGGGCTTGTGATACAGCGAGGAGAGTTAGCGTTAGCATTGTGAAGGTTTTGACAGCAAACATGGAAGACAGCTTTTGATGTAAATTGGACGCTGGAGCTTCCTTCCACTATCTACAAAAATAATCTACTAGATTTTATTTGAATAATTTACAACCACTAACATGTAATAAACCACTGAATTATTTATCTAGCTATGTAAACAAATAAGAAATGCTAACTACAGACTCATCTTACTCAAATTATGTTGGGACATAATTTGTCATTAAGGGAGTTTTTATTTATTTCAGACTTGAGAAATGTCAACGAAACGAAATGTCAAATTCAATATTAATCATAACATCATTTTGCATTTCTCAAAACATGTATGGAAGGGAAACAAAGTTTAAAACAAAATCAGTTCTCATCTTGTCATATTCTCCCTTATACTGGACTGAACTGAAATCTCAGTTATAGGCTAGAAGTTTATCACTATCGTGTTTTTAATTGATTTCTACATTTTGAATTATTACTTTATTAATCTCGGGTGAAATTCAGTTTCTTGGCAGTTACTGCATTTTAGAATGAAAAAAATAAATACAAATAATAATAATACATTTATATAGCGCTTTTCCTGGTGCTCAAATCGCTTTACACGCAAGTAAAGAAGAAAAATAACAACAAAAGTAAAAGGTGCTAAACCAAGTGGAATAGGGGCGAGGGGTTAGTGGATTAGAAGTTGAAGGCAAGAGTGAAAAGGTGTGTGATTTTTTGAATGAAGTGAGAGTGTTGGCGGATCAGATGTAGCTGGGAGGGAGGGAATACAAATATATATATAAGCATAAGAAGTTAAAGTTATGTTCTGCTATAAAAATATATTTTAAAGCTTCTATATAAGAAGTTAAAGCAACATTTCCAAATATAAAGTTAAAGTTAAAATGTGCACATTGTACCCATTAGTACTGTGTGTGTGTCCCTCAGGAGTAGGGGCTCTCCTGGGCCGGTTCCAGATGACAGAGGGTCCCTGTAAACCCTCCCAGCTGGCCGTGCAGTTCAGCAGTGAGGGCTGCACTCTGTCGGGCTGCGACATCCAGCTGCTAGGGACGGGCTACCGGCTCTCGCTGATCAAGAAGAGATTTGCTGCAGGTCAGTTTGAGCATCCAGCATTTATGTGACCTCTTTAGGGCAGCATTCTGTTCAGCCTGACATTAACATGTGATCCCATCACAGTGCACAGCTTTACAGGTGATATACAAGGTTTAGTTAGAGTGTTTGCTAGCTTTATTTTAATTAGTTTTAGTCTATTTAATATATTATGTCTTAATTTTTTTACAAGCTTGGATAACTATGTAGTATATGTTTTGATACAGCAATTAAATTGATTCCTCTTTCACCATCTTACTTAGAAGAACAGGACCAAAGTGGGTTAAAAGTTATATACACAGTCTATGGTTAAAACTAGCATAAGCACAATAGTTCATGTTTATGTAATTTTATCTGCTACAATATTTAAATCTGTTAAGTATGTTCATTTTCTGTGATTTAATGTCACCAGAGTGACAGAAAATCTATTATATCAAAAAACTAGAACTCAAATTAATTCACTTTCTTCTTCATTGTATTTTAATTTGTACTTAAAATACATGAAGAAACAATATATTAACCAGGGAATATTGTTTCAGGTTTTCTTTATAAGGATATTGTTTTTATATAGTTTCATTTTAGAGAAAACAATTCACGGCTTATTTTCATTTTAGATTCTGTTCTACCCCACGATAATAACCCTGGTTCCTATTACACGACAAACCTCTCCAATACAATAGCCCAGCTAGAAATTTTTGGTTCTAAAAACATTCTGAGAATGTTACAGTCATTGTTCTAAGAAGGTTTTCAGCGGGAAGTTTTTGTTTTGGTTCAGAGAATGTTCTTCTGAAAGGTAGGATAACGTTCTCTAAAAACATTCTTAAAATGTTTTTGCTAACATTGTTAGAACATTATGCCCTACTGTTCTTAAAACATTTTCAGCTGCAAGTTAGATTTTTTATGTTGCCAGAATGTTATTATTTTAGAGAAGGATAACATGGTTTATGTTACAAAAAGTATGCAAATGTTCTGTGGTAACAATTTACTAAAATATGTTTACATTATTAGAACATAAAGACATAATATTCCTGTAATTGTTCAACTCAAAATTCCTGGGTAAGTGGACTGACCACTGTGGTCATTAGGAATATTATGATAGTTTACTTAACTATTGGAATTTGACTATTAACACATGTAAAAGGATGACTCGGAATCAGCTGGTGAAAGTAACATTTGTTTATTAGAAAATGGGAGCTGGGAGTGGAGGTTGGTTATGGCGGCAGTGGGAAACAGTTGTTCCAGGGTGGGTAGAGAGGCCTGGCTGGTCTCAGGAGTGTGGAAGGCCTTGGATTCCTCCTGGGAGAGACACAAAAATGAGTGTGAGGCAAAAGCAGGCAAAGCCGTCAAAGAATATGCTGGTAAAAAGGTAGAGTGGCACGCAACAAACCGTTCACGGCAACAATCCGGTAGGGAATGAGTGCAGGCTGCAGGCTTTCATAGTGTGGCTGACGAGCAGGTTGCAGGTGTGGTTGATTGGAGATTGCTCCCAGCCGTGTAGAGCATACCAGTAGGCAGAGAGAGAGACACACAGTAGAAAGAATCACATACAAACACTAACAGGTAGTGATGGCAAAATGAAGCTTTGAATGAAGCGTCAAACCACTTGGACAATTGTGTCGGAAATAGGTTCAT